TTGTTATATTAATTTTTAAAACACTTTAACAAACTGACAAATTTTAATTCTGCAAAAACTAAAATTCCTTTATCTTGTAATAATGATTAATTTTTAAGTTTCATCCAAAAACTAAAAATTTTTAAGCTCTAGAATTTTCAAACTAAAAAAAGAAAAACTAAAGTAATATTTTATATTTAAATTTGAAGGAGAGAATTTGTTCATTAAATATGTAATTTTCTGCCTGAATTCGGCTTTATTAATAAATAATTTTTCTAAATAGTTGTAAAGATATTATATTTTATTCAAATTAAAGCTGTAATTATAAAGGATATTTATACTATGTTCCCAAACAAAAAAAATATTTTGATTGATGAAAAAATAAGGGGGGAACAACATTGGAGTCCATTGTGTCCGTATGTTGTTGCTTCGTTGTCTTGTTTCTCTGAAAGTGTTGATGATTTTGTCCGCTGAAGAGATAGCAAGTAAGTAAATAAATAAATAGAAGTCCGATGATGATGATGAAGAAGAACGAGTAGTAAAAGAAAAAGAAGTGGAGAAGGAAGGAAGGGAAGGAGGAGGAGGAGGAAGATTGATAGAGGGTGTCCGTGAAGTGTATGCGTTTTATATGTAAAGGATATAATATTCAAGAGATGAGGAGGGTTCATGGGTATAAAGAGAAAAGGCCGCACACGGCGATGGTCTCTTGACTAATGAAGGCAGCCACTGTACTCGTACCTGTTATATCTCTTTACCATCTACCACCAGAAGCTCGCTCTTTTTATTTTACATCCTCCTTGCATCATTCAACATTCTCCCTCTTCGAATCAGTCTCTCTCTCTCTATCTCACTCACACACTCTGTCTGTCTATAGCATCTGTTGCATCCATCTCATTAAAGTTGCTTTGGAACGGGACGAACAGAGAGACGCAAAGATAAACCAATAAACGACGCATCCCTATTATGTACGTGCATCTATTATGCATATTACTGTTGTGATTATGAATTCTTAATGAACGTCGTCCAATCGGACGATGATTGAGAGGACAGGAGGCGATCTCGATAAAAACCAAAGAAAAGGATGGATTAATCCCGCAGCAAAGCAGCATTTTACATTCACAATCATTGCAATATTAATAACTTATCAAAAGAAATATTAAATAATTCACGAATGGTAAATAGGAACAACAACAACATGAACAAAAAAAAATTGACGCATAATGAAGAAATGTTAATCAGGTATTTTACATATGGCCATTATTAATGATTCCCATCGATCGGATTTATGTTTATTTTTATTCCGCCTAAATGGATGGAAAGGTAAGTTATTGAAAGAACTAAAAATTACATAATCATAGAGAGAGCAAAAGGCTCGTTTAAACCATCATAAATTTACGTTATTTAAATACGGCCCAAATACTGCACGCAACAATCGGTGATTCTTTGAAACGGGATTTCGGAAAAATTGAATTTCATTAAAATTAAAAGTCCACGAATTATTAACGTCTCATTTTCAATAAGAAATAGATTTCAATTTTGGACACGAACAGTTACGAATTTCTCTAAAAGAACATAAATCTTGCAGATGTTCAGGATTTTGATAATATATACAAAGATGATAATTTATTATAAATTAATTGAGTATTAGTCAATTAGTAACATAAATTATTGATGAAATATTGTCATGTCATCTAAAAGACAAATGACTTTTTTTTCAATCTAGTGATTACTGAAAAATGAAACAATTGAAGTAAAGAAATACAAGTATGTGAAATTTCATTTTTACCAAAATTACAATGTTACATTATTTTATATAAATTATATTATGATTGATTACTGAAAGATGAGTCAATTGAAAGAAAGACAATTATTGGTATAATTAGCTTGAAATTTTAATGAAAATGTTATCAAATAGAAAAGTATAATTTTATGTATAACTCTTTTTCTCACATAAAATTGATTGATTTTACTTTTTAGTCCTTTTGCAAACTTCAAAACTTTGTTCTTAAAAGTCCTATTTTACTACTTCATCATTTCGTTAATATATAAGAAAATAGATAGAATACACTTGGTTCTTTTTTTATGCGGTAGATACGTTCCACAAAACGCATAAAAATAAATCGCACAAAAAAGGACTAGACACACGTATAAAAATAAAGGATATGTTCCATAATTTTTTAAAACCGCATAAAACTAAATCAATGAGTTACAATAAACCGAAAATCGCATAAAAAAGGGTTTATTGAATTTCAGAAAAATAATTAGTCTTACTATATTCTTTCTGAAATGTTTATTCACAATTTTATAAAAACGTTAATAATCATAGACAAGTTTATTAAATTTCAGAAAAATATAATCTTAACATATTCTTTCTAAATTTATACGAAAAAATTTTACAAAAAAAAAATAAAGAAAATTTTTATGAAAGTTAACATTTTTTTCTTTAGAATTATCGTCGCTATATGAGAGTGTTCGGCATAATTTGCGAACTGGTTCGAAATCACTTTCATCACTAGAAGAGATAGTCAGCATATCAGATCTATGTCCTGAAGATAATGATTCTTCTCAAGTAAAATTAGTCTCAACTTCGCATGTTGATTTTTTACCTTTGACTATATAATCAGTGATTAAAATTTGCGATGGCTTTGCTATTTTTTTTTGTACAATTCTTGATATCCAGAAAATGCAATTCTGAAGCTCGCGTTGAAACTTGAATGCTCGTTCAGAATTATCATCTTTGGTTTTCCAATTTGTGTCAGAACGTGTCAAAATGGCCTAAAATAGTTATTTAAAAAAAAAATGTTTCTTGAAATAAAAACCGCATAACTTCAAAACCGCATAAAAAGAGTACGCATAAAAAGAGGACCGAGTGTATATTAGATAAAGAAGTATAATTATATAAGTATAATTTAAGTCCGGTTTTGCGTTGAATTTGAAACGATCTGAACAAATATATCGCGATACCATGTTGATCTTGTTTAGACGTTTCGTTGAAAAACAGCAAACAAAGGCGCACACACAGGGTCACAGTGTAAATGTCAATCAAAAAATTATTACATTCATAAACATATTTGATCGCAGCGGATTATGGGCAATTGGAAGCGTTAGGAGGAGGAAGCGCAGGGTGGACAAAGGCATCGAAACGATCGAGACAACAACAAAAACAACAAAAATAGCACACGCAACATAAACGGATTGCGTCGCACAATACAAAAAAACAAATATATAAAGTCAGAGGGCAAAAAAAAACCATCAATCTGACAGCCAGGATGAGCGGAGAGTATTTCTGCAGCAAGAAGCGTGTCGAGGACAGATCAAAATTTCAGCAAGAAGGTAAAATTCTTCGTTTCTCACGCACACTTTTAACTATTCGTTGTTGTTGCTGTTGTCAACAATATATATAAAAAGAAATAAAAGATAACGAATGGATGGATCGTTTCACGAGCTTAGCCTTTTGCGCGCGTAATAATAATTAGATATAGCGCTCATTAAAATTTAGTAACGTTACATTAATAAAGATTATTAATTACGATTGGAGCGGCATCAATGGTAAGAAGGAAAACTGTTGCCAATGTAGAAATTGCTGTTGATTTATCGCTCGTTGCCCATTTACGAAACGCGGCCTTTTTCGAATTCCGATCCTTTCGATTTTGAATCTTCGTCCTTCCTCCACCTCCTTTTCAAACGTCGTTATTTTTTTAAAAATCTGCGAAGGCCAACGCTGCTCTGCAATTATTTTTGTTGCGCAACTCCTGATTTTCAATCGGAATTTGTTAATAATTTCAATTTTTATTTCATTAATTATTGTTTCTAATTGTTTGCAGATAAATCTGATGATGACAAAATTGGGGACTGCCCGTTCGGAGGAGACTGTCCATCGCCGAATCAGGACCTCAAATTACACGGTGAGTACACATCCTTTATTTAATTGTAAGTTAGATGATTTATTCTTTCTTTATTCATTGAAACAGACTCCAAATTTGTTGTTATTTGTTGTATTGGTTCTAATTTTCTCTTACTTGAAAGTTTGCATTTATTGTTATATTAATCCACTTTTCAATAGTTTATTGTGGATTCTTGTATCTAATTGCGATGAAGATATGTGGAAGTTGTATCGATGAAAAATTATTAAATTGCAATAAGTAANTTTAATTTTTCAATCGTTCTTTTTTTTCTTCATTTTCAATGTAGAATGTTTTGAAAATATCAACATCAAATTGTCAACTTTTTTTTTTCAATGTTGTGATTACTGAAAAATGAAACAACTGAAGAAAAGAAATACGTGTATTTGAAATTTCATAAAAAAAACTGCTATTGCTGATTGTTTACTGAAATATGAGGGTATTGAAAGAAAGACAAGTATACGACTTTTTTTGTATAATTAGCTTGAAATTTTAAAGTATAATTATATAATTTTATGTATAAGTTTATTTTACACATAAAATTGATTGATTTATTTTGCATTTATTATTATATTAATCCACTTTTCAACAGTTTATTGTGGATTCTTGTATCTAATTGCGATGAAGATATGTGGAAGTTGTATCGATGAAAAATTATTAAATTGCAATAAGTAAATTTAAAAATAATTAAATATTGCATCTCTTCACAAACTTTAATTTTTCAATCGTTCTTTTTTTCTTCATTTTCAATGTAGAATGTTTTGAAAAAATCAACATCAAATTGTCAACTTATTCTAGTAGACAAATACATGTACTTGATTTGTAACTTGACAAGTATTATGTAGCTGTTTATACTAATTAAAGGAAGGATTATTGTTGAATCAATATGAAAGTTGTAAACATATGTATATTATTTAATATAAAAAGTAAAATGTAGATGTACACCCATAAAAGCAATTTCAAAATTAAAATTTACAGACAACAAATTAACTCAATTGATATATGGAATATATCATATCCCCCTGAATCGTGCAAGGCAATGAGAAGAAGCTTACGTTTCTAACTTTGTTCATGTATATATATTTTTTTTCTTTTCTGTATCAATTTGCTTCAACGTACTGTGAGACTATACCGTTGATTTTCCTGGAGAATATGTCGTTGGAAAACTTCTTTGCAAAGACGTCGTGTCCCATGTCGCTTAGGAAGACTTGAATCGCGGGATTCGTGAGGATTTTGTACATGGCAGCAGCGAACATCTGCGGCGTAGGTTCGACCAGGACACCGCTGATCCTGTGCCTCAGGACTTCCTTTGCGAATCCCGTGTTTGTAGCGACGATTGGTCTTCCCGATGAGAGAACTGCAAGTAGGGTATCTGGAAATATCTCGTGTTTACATGGTATCAACACTCCGATGGATTCTTCTATTAAGGTTTTCTTGTGCACCGTTGGTAATTGTCTTAGGAATGTGACTTGAGATGCGAACGGCTTGTCCTTCGTGTACTCCAGCAGTTCGTTGTAATAGATCTTCTGCTCGAGTTGGGAATCGCTGCAGTGTCCTCCAATCACAAGATGCACGTTGTTCTTGATCTTCTCAGCGCTGATCAGCAGTAAATCTTCGAAAGCGTCCAGCACCAGCTTGAAGTTGGATCGTTTCTTGTACGGTCCGAAGCAGACGAAAAGGAAGTTCGGTTTGGGGATGTCCGGCACGATTCTTGAGATGTCTATAATCCTTTCCTTCCATAACCCGGTATCAACGCAAGGCGGTAAAATCTTCAGCTCTCGCTTTACACCTGGGAATGATCTTCTGAAAATATCCGCCAAACCTTCGCTCTGCACGATTACTTCATTGGCGCGTTTCAGACACATGGCGTTCGTCAAATCCGGCGTTATCTTCATGAACTTGGTGTAGTATTCCGCTTGATGCAATGAGGTGAAGTGCGTAAGGTAAATAGTCTTTACGTCGCTAAGCAGCGAGAACAGGTACAGAGCTATGGTGTTTACATCCAGGATGATGACTTTCGGCTTCGGTTCGGGGGGAAAGAAGATCATTTTCAGGGCCATCACGATGGATCTCCAGAATTTGAAGCTGCTGGGCAACCACCAGCCGGAGTAGCAGACGTTCAAACATCCTGAAATGTTCTGTAACGTGCGCGTTTCTCGTAATTTTTATACAATCCTCTCCACCAAACACAAGAAACTTACATTGACTTCGTCGAAGCAGTTGCTTTGGTCGAATTCGGACGTGTAAATTGTTACCCTGTGTCCGGCCTCTTTGAGAGCGATGGCAACGTCGATCAGATATCTGTCCTCGGCCCTCTTCCTGAGCTTGTTGTGCAGGAATACCACATGGATTTTGGTGGAATCGCCGTGCTCGGCCATGACTCTAATTATACTTCAGCTGCACCACCCTCGCCTATTCCCTTAAATCATGATTTTGAAACATGGAAATATTGACATTGACTTTGACATGTGATTGCATACAAAAAAAACAACAACGCTCGTTTTCAAAGCACTAGCTACAATTTGCAATTGGGAATTTTTGCAGAAATGGGTGAAGCTTTGGAGATTGCTGAAAATAGATGTAACACGTTGAAAGAACAATTGGATCACATGAAAAACTTGTACAAACAGAACAATGAGATCGATGAACGACCGGAAAAAATAAAAGGTATAATAATTAATCAACTTGTTGATGTCAAGATTTACTAATAATTTAATTTAGAAGTGTCTCAGATTAGCTTAGCAAGATCGCGGAACCTGCCCAGACAGAATTCCGGTGCAATAGGCACAGATAGCAGTGGAGCTGCTGTCGTTACCATAAATAATATTTTAAGCGGTATAACGCAATCGATTAATCGTCTATCCGAGCTGCACACTTACATGGAAACCGATCAGAGGCCTTCGACCAGGAAGAAGAGATTTAGGGATTCAGATGAGGAGTTTGAAAAAGGTATAGTTATTACCTTTACAGCAGAAAATGTTGACAACGTATTGCAATAAATTAATACAATTGCTTAATTAAACAGTATGAATTTGTTTGTTAGTTAGATCAAATGAAGGACACTACAGCGAGGATGATAATCGTCGTGCTTTATCTCAAACTTTTTATAGACCTGGAAGTAACACGTCCTTAGCTAAGCATAAGCGAAAAGAACCCAAGAAGCGTCCTAAACGCAGAAACGTTGGCGCAGTGGAGCAATCTTCAGCCTCGCTGATTCACATGAAGTCTAAAACTAAAACTAATCGAACTAAAGATGATACAATGGACAGTTCAACGGCCATGAAGAAGCAAAGGAAACAAATCAAAAGGCTGAAACAAATCTCCAAGACTTCGATGGTTCAGAAACGTCTGAAGCATATACCGGGTGAAGCGCAGAAACTCTCTAATAATTTGGTAGAAATTTACCATAATAAAGCGGCGAAAGCCAGCGAGTCAGATGAAAGTCAAACCGATCTGCACGAGGCTTCATTCTCCACAAAAATATCGCACGTAGAAGTCAAACCCAAACTAAAGAAGTCCGATCCGCTTCCTCCGATTCCTATAATCGAATCCCGTATAGAAACTATGAATTACGGTAAGATGGAGAACAGAACGATGCTGACGCCCATAGAAGAGCAGGTAACTGATGATCAGGCAACGAGAACGGAATACACCAATTTCATGCACAATTACGAAGCCCCTACTATCGCATCCAGGATGAAGCAAGTCGCTAAAAGTTACTTTCGTCAGTTCAGCTCAAAAACTATACCGTTTTGCGCTGCTAAATCGACAACGCCCAGTCACAATATTGGTATTAACATACAGCAGGTGATGAACATAATTAAAACTAGGCAGCCGATAAAGGGGATCTCACCTACGCTCGCTCATAATATCGGAATCGCAGCTGAAAAACTGAATAATCATTCACTGTCAGCTGTCGTCTCTTCGTTTTCCTCCAGAATGGGGTATTAAACTTATGTTTACATCTATTATTTAAGTTATTATGCTTATCATTGATTTGTGCAGATGCAATTACTATCCATGCCCGATGTTGCGCACCAACATGAACTTTCAGCATCTCCAGGAGATGGCCAAAGAAATACCGGAAATTCCTGAAGAGTTGGAAACGCAGGATAACGGCGAGGATAAGCAGGTGGAGGAAGTGATGCGCGTAAGTGCGAGCAGGCTCATGAATTACGTGGGCAACGGTAGTGATTTGCAAAATCAGCAGACGGACTCCGTCTGGGCTGTGGATCCTGCACAGGTGAATTGCACGTGCATTCCTCGACAAGGCATCGGTTTTCAGCAGATGCTCAACAAGTATCAACAATTCGCGATGCCCCACAGCGGAACGCAAAGTCAAGTGAGAGGTTTCAAGTATTATCTATTCATATTTTACAATTAATCCAATTTTCTATATAGTATTCCCAAAAGATTATGCAGAGGAGCAATCAGAAGTACAGACACATAAAGTCGATTTACGCGCAGTACAACGATGGTAGAAGGAAGAGAAGCGATTCGCCCATTCAATCCCTGATTGACACCAAGACCGATACAAAAATGCCGCTGAAAGGGAAGGAGAAGGTTTTGAAAGGGGTTTTAGTAAATTTACACAACGAGTTCGAGCAGCTGTCCAAGTACCGTTTCTTGTTTTCTAAATTATCTTTGTTAGATTTTTTTAATTGCGTGATTGTTTTGGTTTCTGCGCAGCAAATACGATGAACTGTCGAAGGTGGAGCAGTGCGATAATAACGGGGAGGATCGCGTCAAAGAGTTGGAGTGTCTGGAGAAGAAGCTCAACGATAAGGAGGACGAGATACAGATGGTGATGTCTCTGTACAGCGAGGTGGTGAACCTGAAGCAGCAGGTGAGGACGCTTCGGGAGAAGGCCAGTCTCGCCTCGTTGATGGTGGAGCAGCAGAAGCAGCAGTACATACTCAATCAGAAGAAGAGCGAGCTGTATCCGGTTCGAAACAAGGACACCAAAGGCGCGGTCCACCTTACTAAACTCTTAAGGCATATTCAAACCTATCAGGAAGTCAGTAAAACTGGCGGCAAATAAGAGAACGTTTGAGATTAACATTGGTTTTATTATTGAATTATTTAATTTAATTGTAGAATGAAATTTTATGTTTTCTTGCTATATTGATAGATGTTCCGACTTTTGTGTTTAAAAGGTGAGGGTGAGTAATGTATGAAATGATTGAGTCGGAATGCGTTTGCGTGCGTCGAACGATAATGCTCATTCTCTTCATCCGTCCATTCTTTCTTCGTGCCCCCGCGATGATTTTCTATAATATAGGAGGGTTGTGGACTCCCCTCGCGCCGCCTCTAAATACATATTAATCACGTGCGTTAAATATGCTTGCTTTTATTCTTTCTTCTTTATCCCTTTGCTTTTGTATCCCGCAGACCCTCAGTTCTTTCTTGTCTGCCTGCAGGAGGGTTGTAAGGAGGGAGGTAAAGAAGAGGAGGCCATTCCGGGTCAGCGGCGATATTTAATTTAATTTGGTGGTCGTGTCATCACTTAGCCACCCAACAAAACCACACACAGGCAGACACACACACGTCTGGTTGTGCCGACGCCGCTTCTGCTGCTGATGTTACTACGGGGTTAAAACCGACGGCCGACGGTCGCGTGTCCAGCTGACATCGCGCATCAATCTACATTAGGGTTAAAAGCTTCCCTAATGAATTGCACGTCGTGTTATAAAACCCTCCTCCTGCCCCGTACACATACACCCGGTAATGGACTCCGATAAAAAAAGGGAATAATACAATCACTCACTAAACACAACATAGTTCTTCTGCTCATCGTACTCTTCTTGTCATCTTACACATTTATTCTTTACCATTGTTAATAAGCAATTGACAACGACGTTAGCCAACTTGTCAAAGCTGCTCATTCATTTAATTACATTTAATAATACAAAAGCAACAATTTCATCAATTTTTTACAAGTCAAATTTCTTCGTTTATCGACTAATTTCAGAAAATTATACAATGCGAATCCAATTCCCAAAGAGTTGGATGTTTCATTCATCGCGTTAAATATCTGTAATTTCAGTCCCACAACTATTTGTCGAGATCTATTATTATTACAAGAGTTCGATCTCTTTCTCTCAATGCACAATTGTTTGATGCTTCGTCTGATGACTATAATAATATCGAACGATTGGCACGTGTGAAATGCTCCATCCGCACAGCCCGACGTAATTGCAGCCCAGCAGCCGACCCTGTAATTTCGTCACAACTTGACCGTCATTTGTCAACAACAACAATGCCATGCAATTATTACAAAATTCCAAGACAACGTGCAATTACTCAAATAACAACTTACGTTGTTATAGAAACAAAAACAAAAATAAGATTCAAATAACTTATTTTTCCTACAATTATGAATATTCAACGATTAGCGTTGATTTACTGTTCACTTCCACTTTCGTTTTTTTTTTTTTTTT